AAAGCATCAACAAGTTTATACGCAAAAGATTGATACCTAATCTAGCTTTCTTAGCCACAGGCAAATTTTAATACCATTATGCAAACCACACTTGAAATATTCCTACAAAGAATTAGAAGTTAATAAATGACCAGTAACATTTGTATTTTTAAATGCTCAGGATTCCTTAACGCTCGTTCAATTTGGATGCAGCACAGTACTGCACACCACATTTTACTAAGTTTAGAAAGCAAATTTCCAAGCTATTCTTCACCATGTTAAACACAAAATTTTCAATGATGCTGAGTATTAAGCAGCCTGCAGTATTCCTTTTTATATCTCCTCATAGAAATAACTTTAATAGTGATGCTATGAGTTAAGTTTACCTGTCCATACCTCCACATGGAAACATCTCTCAGCTCATTTACTCTGCCAGCAGCAACAGCCCAGAGTTTCATACACAATGCTATAAATATGCTGACTACAGAGCAGAAAGCCAACACTAGCAAGGGAATAAATTACTTATTTGTTAGCTTAATGATCTTTCTCACTGTTTTGGAATGGCTGAGTGGGACAATCTGTGCTGTCACTCAGTAATTCAGAAATCTACTTTCATGACAGAACAAAACAAACTGAAATTTATGAAAACTGAGGAGTTAGCAGTAACACACCAGCTACTTTTCTGTGATTAGTTGAAGCTGTTCAGACTACATAGGCTGACCAAACCCTGAAACAGTCTGCAGCCCTCAAAAAAAAACAAATTTCAAGAGGAGATTAAAAGAATAATATAGCATCTGAGGGTAAAGGATGGAGGCAACCTTAGATGTTCAGGGCTGACAAAGATGAAATTTCTAATCGTTGCTATATAGAGGCAAGGTTACCCAACAAGACAAAGTGCTGGTGATAAACGGTCTAAATTTCATCACATTGCTCCCATGTATTTTTGAAAATAAACCTCTAACAGGGCATTGAGAAAACAACAACAATAAAACACAACCCTTTGAACAAAGTCACTTAAAGATGTTTTGAGAAACCTGAAATAGTAAGGTACAAAAGATCTTAAGATACTCCCATTTGCTCTCGTTCCTAATCATCTTTCCAGTGAGCATTAACTCCCTCCCCACCTACTATCTTTTGTTCCCTACAAAAGTTTGGCTAAAAATACAATTCAATTATCACCCAGGACCCATCTCTTCTCAGCTTTGTTCTTCTAATCATTAACCAGATAGATATGGGATCTCGAGTTCAGCTGGGCATGGTGCATAGCTATGCAAGCATTCCAGCACCTTATTTGTTCAGTAAGGTCCCATCTCAAACAACGTCAGATCCTTGTGATGGGAGTTAACTGTCAGGTAGATACTACAACCAGACCACAGTAGAAGCATTACAGGCTGCTTTTCAAACACTGGTTAAGTCTGTGCCTCATTCAGAAACATATCGATGCTGAGACTGAAGTCCACTGATAGCCAGGCTGCTGATTCGTTTAAACACGACAGGAGTTTGTATCAGCACCTTCCAAACTGGGAGATGCAAGCCCAACAATTTGACTGAAACGGTCAGTCTGACCACAGAGCTGCAAATAAGAGGAATCTGGGAACAGCTGGGAAAGTAAAGAAGCCTTAAGAAACTCACCACCACATCGCCCTCCTGAGGAAGGTTGTTTGCTGGTAGTCTATTTTTCTCCTCATTGTTATAGTAGAGAGCTCCATCATTTCTCATCACCAGGCTATGGACATCTCGACCAAGTGGAATTTGATTCAAGTTTGCTTTCTGGGTTGCAACTCCAATACCCCAAATCCCTAAAACGTGACATTAACATGGTAAGGAAAAAAAACATTACTTTGAAGACTGACTGAAGCAGGACAGCATAAAGAGTGTGTTTTTAACTACTGCTGTGGCAATACTACCAATAACCTCTTAGAAATACCAGGACTGTTGTGGGGTTAGCCCTGGTAGGCAGCTAAGTACCACCCGGCCACTCACTCACTTCCCCCCACAGGCCCCCGTGGGATGGAGGAAGAAGAACAGTAGAGTGAAACCAAGAAAACCTGCGGGTAAAGATAAAAATTGTTTAATAAGCAAAGGAGAAGTAAAGGAAAGAAAACAAAACAAAGAGATGCAATGGCTATCGCTCACCACCTCCCACGGGTAGACTGATGCCCGGCCAACTCCCAAGCAGATGATGGGTAACCTCCCTACATCGCCTCCTCTCCCTCTTGCTGCTGAGCATGACATTATGTGGCATGGAATATCTCTTTGATTAGTTTGGGCCACATCCCAAACAGATGTGAGAGACAGAGGGAGAAACAGGGATGGCCTTGATGCTGTGCAAACACCGCTCAGCAACAGCTAAAACATTAGTGTGTTATCAGTATTGTTTTGGTAGCAAATCTAAAACACAGCACCGCAGGAGCTGCTATGAAGAAAATTAACTCCATCCTGGCCAGGCCCAGTACAAGCAGTCACAAGAGACTGAAGATAAACATCATCTATCCTGAAAAAGACTGAAAAAGAAGAATCCAGAGAATTGTAACCACTTAGCTTAACTTCTATTCCCAGAAAAATATTGGAAAACAAACTCTGAGACGGTAAGTGGATGTAAAAAATAAATCCAACTAGCATGGATTTATGAACAACACAATTTCCTTTTTTAGCTGGTTACACCAGCCTTAGGGAAAAAGAAGAAATTGTACACATGATAGATCTTGATTTGGTAATGTTTTTGAAACTCATACAACACTGAAACAGTCAAATTACAAAAACATGGTCTAGAGAGTTACAGCAATACGAATGTACAACTGGTTATAAAACTGTATTCCAGGACTACTCATCAGTAGCACCCTGTCAAATCAAAAAAGATGACTCAAGTGGGGTTTGAGGTTTTGTACTGAATGCACAATTTCAGATACTGTTCCATATTCACATCAATGACTTGGACAACGTGACAACATCCTTATTAAACGTGCTGCCAATACCAACCTGACAAGACTGCAAGCTCTTCAGAGGCCCCTCAAGTTTTAAATGATCCTGACAAATTGGTTAAGAAGTCTGAAATAAGGAAAATGCATTTGCTTTTCCTGAATTACAAAGATCAGCAAGTAAGTAGGAATAGTAAGCGGCTGGCACAAATACAACAGTGGCTGAGAAGCCAGTTCATAGAATATAATTTGGGGGTTATCACAGACCACATGCTGAGAGCAAGTTTCTGCCCTACTGCTGTGAAAAAATTCTGGATGTATGGCATGTATAAAGCAAACATATTGCATGTACAGAAGATGAAAGACATCTACTGCTGCTGCAGCTGGAGCAGAGCATCCATTTTAAGCATCATACACCAAGACAAATTAGGTCAATCAGATATATTCTAGAAGAAACAACAAAGCCAATCAAAAGTGTAAAAACATCACCTATAAAGAGATAATGAAAAACAACAACCGGGACTGTTTAATCTACAGAAGACTAAAATCAGGCAAAACTATAAGAAAATTAGTTTCCAAAACCAAAATTGCATAACAATTTATTCCAATACTTACATGCCCAGAATGAAAAGGACAAGAGTATGAACAAGACTCAGAATAGACTTCAGAAAACTTTCCAATAGTCAGGGTAACCCCAGAGACGACCACTAATAGATTGTGCAGTGTCACTTCTGGGAATCGAAGTTTTAAGTGGAATGATCTACAGTTCCCCTGCTCTGGGGCACAGGAACAGAGAAGACACGGCTCAAAACCAGGAGAGCTTATTTCCTGTGTTTCTCAAGTATAAGAACATGGATGCTGTATTTGTGTGAATAAAGACCATATAAGAACAACAGCTGGAGTGAGCTCTTCCCCCAACAGAAAGGTTGCTAAAGCTACCAAGACTGGTATGGGGTTTACATGTAGCTTAAAACTAAACAACTGGTTGGGCTGCAAGGTGTTTTGGACAGATTTGTGTTCACACTGCCTGCGCTCCAATCCAGCTGAACACAAACAACCCTTACCCAAAAAGTACCAGGTTCAAGCTTCAGCTGGTATTGTAAAGACTGTCTCTGGACTGACACTTTCCTCCTTTTTCCCTCCCCCTACACACTCAGGGAAAGAACAGTTTCATTTTCACAGTGTCTGTTGTTTTTAAAAATACAGGCTGATTTTTAATGTTAGAAAGCAGGCAAGTCCGAAGTGTACTCTCTACTAGTGAAGTTGACCGTATCTGTAAATGCATAATGCTTCCAAATTTCAACTCACTTTCAGCTGCCCTGAGTTAGATCTGTGCAAAACAAAGAAACAGGGTGCTGAAAGGCTCCTCTTGATAAGATGGTGTTGGAATAAGTGCTGAATGTTTGATTTGAAGAGCAAAATGTAGCACAAAGAGAGTTACCCTTGCTTGGGCAAACACAGTGCGTGTTAAAAGCAAACAAAGCTACAAATACTGCTGGATACACTGCACTATTATAAAAAAAAAAAAAAAACTAAAGCAAACTTCATAGCTACAGTGGTTCATGTGGTCATAAGCATTTATTTACCAAAAATAATGTCTAAAATATGCTAACTGAAAAACACGCATATAACAGCATACAAAACAATATGGTGTTTTAGTATTTGCACTCCTTGAATAATATCCTTACCATTCTTTTCAGAGCCACAATTAAAGCAAAAAAACTCCAAAAAAACAACCTTCCTTTTACACAGTGACAACTTGTAACACTCTCCAATGTCCACGAGTTCAAGGATGCAATTTAGGAAGATGCATGGTGCTTGGAATTTGAGATATGACCACCAGTAGGCAGTCTGACATACCTTCCAAGTTTAAAGTTGTACATTTTTTGCTGACTAACCTGTGGACTGGATTTTAAACTCAAAATAGCTCTTGTTCTGATGCAAAGGTGCATTGGCTAAGCAGCCTCCTGTGCCACATATTCTTCTACCATTTTTAACAATGACAACATCTGTTCCTGCAAAGAGAAAAAAAAAAAACAAACCACAAAACTTCAAAACATTTTTAGAAGTCTGGATGCAGCCCTTAAAAGCCCTAAACTTTGAGAACAGTTTTTGCTCTTTCTGCCCCAAGTAAGAGCTTCATTAGTCTGTGAGAATTATGATGATGGGCCATGCTTTGAAGTAAGAAAAGGAAGGCTGTTTACAGGCTAGTTCATCTTTTAACTAGGGTATATTTATTTAAAATCCATACGCTGCTCTAATTTCGCCTCTTGGATTTTACGGCACCACGCTGATTACAACCTTTGCTCAGCCACATCAGAAGCATAACTTACAACTTAGTCAGAAAGGGTTCACTGTGAGACCAAAGCCCTGTACCCTGTCTCTATATGCTGGAGAAAATAATTCTGCGAACTGAAGGAAAAGCGCATTGGGTAAAAACGTTCGATGGAATTGCAAGGTGTTTTAAGTATTCTCTGAAAAAAATCCTTTTATTAGAAACACGCTTTAAAATACAGAGAGAAAAAAATCCTCTGATAATGTCTCCTTCTCCAGTGGAAGACTTCATCTTTAAGCACTGTTGTCACGGTCAAGAACATGGGAGACAGTCAGAGTTCACTGATACAACTGAATAAAAACAGATTAATAATTGCAGTTGAGCACTAGACCCTGGATCGGGCATGCTACTTTCCTCCTAGGTCTTTCCCCGGCTCGACTGCAGCTGACCCAGATCATTTCTCTCCTCATCAAAGCCCGAGCGTGGTTTTGTGGATAGCTCACCCTAAGGATGACACTCAAAGTGCAGTACGGACACGACTCCGTATGGCTTGGCTCCTTCTGAGTCTTCCTTGCCGTCGCTTGCCCCCTCTGCTCTGAACCACCATCCCTCGCCTAACCTGACCCAAAATCTCCAGCTTCCCTCTCAAACCGAGGCACACCCCCACGTACTCGTTCTGCTGATGAGCTTCAACTGAATTTAAACCGAGGTGAGAGGTTTGGTTTTTTTTTTTTTTTTTTCCCTGAAAACTGCCAAATCCTTCAAAAGAAGCAGCCAAAAAGCAACTTCCCCGGTGCGCTTCACTGAGAGAATAAACTTTATTCAGTTTATTCTGTTTATTTATATTTAACTCAGCTGCAGGCGCACACCCTCCCCCGCGGCCGGTACGGTTACACCAACAACCCGACACCCCCACCGGCCCCGTGTCCGAGCCTTCCCGCCCGCCCCCCTCACGGGTTTACCCCCCCGCCGCGCCCCGGGCCTGCGGCTTCCCGCCCCGCCGCCGCCTCCCGGGCACCTCCCGGTGGGGGAGGACAGCCTCAAGCCCGCCCCGCTTACCCATTCGCTGCGTGTCGAGATGCACCGCCGGCATCTCCTTCAGCGGGATGTGGCCGGCGCCGCCATCCCTGCACCAGGAGAAGCAGCAGAACACGGAGGCGGCCATGACTGGCCGGCCCCCCCCCCCCCCCCCCCCCCCCCCCCCCCCCCCCCCAACCCACCCCGCGCCGCGCAGGCGCAACGGCGGCCGGCGGGGCGGGGAGGGCAGCGCCCCCTGGCGGGCGGGAGGTGGTGGCGGGGCGGGGCGGGCGTTCCCTTCCTCGCCGCCCGCCCCGGCGCGACATGGCGGGAGGCGGCGGGATATGGCGGGCGGCTTCCGGCCGGGAGCAGGGGGGGGTCGGGGGGGGCGTGAAATCGAGTACGGTTTTAACAGAAAAAAAAAGAAAAAAAAAAATCCCATTAAACCCCTATCTTGCCTCAGGAAGTGGAAGTTTAAACGAAAACGAGCGAAGCGGGAAACCTGCTCCTTCTCCACAAGCGGAGGAATGGTGGCTTGAGGTGGCAGCGCGCGGCCGCTTAATGGGCGTTTTATACACACACACACGCATATATAGATATATATATATATATAAAGGAAAATTTATAAAAAAGAGGACACTGATCATGATGGGCAGATGGTAGGTAGCACCGTCAACGAACTTCACAGTGCTCGGCCATGTGGGAAGGGACTCTGTGGAAATTTACTGGTCAGTTATTCCTGGCTCCAAGTAACAAGAACCCCATTTATCTTCTTTTTTTTTTTTTTTTTTTTTTTTTTTTCCCTCCTCTTTTTTTTTTTTTTTTTAATTTTTTTGGAAAAGTCCAAAGAGACAGGACTCCTTGAAGTAAAAGGTTTTCACAGCCGGTTGTGGCGAGGGACGGCTGTCTCTCCTGCCCAGGGTCTTTCCACTGGCTTCCATGGTGTTTGAGGGTTGCCCTCATCTTCCAGACCTGTCCAGCTAGTGAGTCTTTGAACTTTCTGTGTCCCGTTTGCTACTGGAGTACTTTCTCATCTGTTCAAAAGCTTTGGTGGAATGTTTTTCCTGATTTGCTCAGGACCAGCTGATCTCAATGGTAAAGATTGCTACAGTGAAAGGCCAGCACGCTATCATTGCACTTACCGTGTTTTTGCAAAGCACTCTTTGGGACCAGCTTTATGTCCCTTTCATAGAGGCAGGATGTCACATAATTCAAAAGCTGTAGCTTGGCTTGTGGCCTTCAGGTTACATAAGTGTTTCTTTAGCAAAAGCCCTAGAGCTGTCCCTACAGCACACGCCATCCAGAACAGGTGGCACAAACTGGGCTCCAACAAATAGAGTAAATAGTGATAACATGGCTATAAAAGCCCACCTGTACCTATTTCACATTTTTAGTTATCTACCAAAAAATACCCAGTAAATGTTGTGCCATGAACTGCTGCTCTAGAATGTTTTGCAGACAGCAGATAATTTAAATACTTACATTTAAAGGCTTACTTATCTCTAAACCAATTTGGGATGACATTGTTGTTTCTCACGTTTTTCAGCTGGTGTCTTATTTTGTGGCATTTTACCTAGAAAGCTCACTTAACATTTTATTACAGTATATAATATGATACAACTAATGTAGCCCATGTGGTACAGCGTTATCTGTCCTGGGGGGATAGGGGGTTAAGCGGATGTTCAAAAACTCTTGCTAAAAGAATTCTTCATAGCCAGAAATATCTTATTGGTCTGGATGGGGTGTATCAGTCACACTTACCCCTTTACTTGAAACATGAGGTGAAATGCTGTCTTTCTCAAAATTGTGCCTAAAACCAATCTGATTTTAAGAGCAGCTTTAAAATATGCTTCCTTTCTTTTATTGGACTTACTGTTACAGCCCATAAACATTTGGGGTCAAGAGCTCACTTCCTTAAAATATGCCAAATGGGATTAGTCTTGAACTTCTAAGAAGTAAATATTAGGTGGAAACTGATGTGTATTTATTTTGTATGGAGGGCATCATGATTCTCAATGGTAGCTTGTTGTTCACATAATTAGTCCCATTTAAGTCACTGCAGGATTTTTATTGTCTGTCACGCACTGTGGGTTTGTTACAGTAAATGCTAAAAGACAAATGTTAATATAGTTTTAAAAAAAACTCAACCAACCAAAAAAAACCAAAAAACAAAACCCCAACGATTTAGAGACTCAACCTCCAAATGACTTCCCATCCAATTTTTTCCTCTGTGGCCCAGTAAGCCTTTTCTTCCCTGAAATGAGCACTGGGAATACAAATGCATCTCGCCACGTGAAGTCAGCATTGCCAAATGAGTTGGACTCAAGGGGATGGAGCTTTGGGGAGCAGTGGCTGGCTGTGCCTTCCTGCCAGTTTCCTGCTCCACTACTTTCTCAACTTGTGAGGCTGGTTTTACAGGCCAGCAGACTGCAGCACTTGTGGGGTAAAGTGTATGCCACAGCTTGGAAAAGTTGGGTGCTGCTTTGGAGCACGCTGACTCGGGTGCCTATGTGCTCGGCGGGCAGGAAGCCTCGGCGGATCAAGGTCAGTGCAGCTCTCACCCCGGCGCCCATCCATCCTGTCTCCCTCCAGGTGCAGAGCCCGGCTGCTGAGCACCCTGAGAGCAGCTGGTGCCAGCTCGGTGTCACAGCGGGTGGTGCAGGAACAGTGGCAAAGATCTACGCGTGCCTTGAGTGAAGTCTCAGTCGCCGGGCAAAATCAAGCAGATAACAGCGTTGGTCCAGGGGAAGTGAGGCAAAAGTCAGCTGGTAAGAAACATGGGTTATTTGTATGCCTTTCTTGGAGGGTGAGGTGAGCAATTCCAGCAGGACAGTACCATATTTGTAAATGTGCTTGTCAGCCTGTTTAGAGCATATTTGAACACCAGTATTTTTACAGTGCACAAAGAACTGCCCCAAGGAAATGAAGATCTGGGCTCCAATATTTAGAAGTATAATTGTGCTTGCTAATGAAGGGTTAATTCAGCTTCTGCCTTTCTTGAATGTGAATGTATTTCATTGGGGAGGCCAAGTATTTAGGACCCTCCCACACTGGAAGCAAAATTATGCTCAGCATGCCTAAACATGCTTGTTGCTCACAGGGTTTTAACTTTATTTCCTTGAACAGTAGCAACAGAGACATTTTGTCTGGGAACCGTGTTAGAAGAACAAGAAAATGACTGGTCCCATCCATTTCACCAATGCAGATGTATTTGGAGGTCCTGCTGAAAGAAAATGATGGTCCTTGACTTGTTTTGTTCTCTAGCTCAGAGCTTCATTCACAAAATAGGACTGTCTCTCGTTTGCCCTGCAAAGTAGATCTACTGGCTGCAGGCAAGTACGTTTCAGAAAGGTTCCATGATACCGCCAAATTTGCGGGAGAGAGGGGAACTCTCTCCTGTTGTTACAGCATGTAATACAACACGGCTAATCAGTTCTCAGAAAAGTAATTCCTCTGTGCCCTGCTAGTAAAAACCGCTGGGACTTGCTTCTCTGCTGCCACAAGCTTTGTGGAGGCATTTACACCTGTGAACACCAATGAAAAAAGCAGTTGTTAAATATGCTGGAATGGATTTAGTAACGTTTCCATGCAACTTGCACAGAAGTAAATGATGGTGCAGGACTGGAAAATCAAGGTTTGTTTATTGAAAGCAGTCCTTCCACTCCCAGGGTCAGGCCTGTGGTTTGGAAGATGATACAGACAAGGTCTCAGATGAAAACCAGGTTGTGCTTGTACTTTTGAAATCTTCATTATAATGTGTTCTTGTGAGGATTAACGTTCTGTAGGAAGTCTTCTGTTTTATACTGTTAATCTGATCCTTGCCAAGTCATAGAAGAAATTATGTATGAAAATTAATTTTGTTCCTCATTGTTCTATTCACTTTGGAGGTCACTTCTCCTCTCCTCTTTATGCCATATAAGCAAAACCCACCAGAGCAGAGCTTTGATCTGTAGGCAATCACAAACCTCACTAAAACTGACAGGCACGCTGACCATGCTTTGTTCAGGAAGGAGCAATTAAGTTCTTTTATGGCGTAAGATAGCTAAAAACTAGAAACCACTGCCCACGGCACAGGGCTACATGGCCCAGCGCGGGGATGAGCTAACTCGTATGAGCAAGCACTAATTTGGGGAAAGTCAGAGAGATTTCTCTAGGGACTGCTTGCGAACGCGGCAGCAAGAGCACAGATTGGTTGCAGCTGTGTTTGCCTGTGTGCATGTCCGGGACCGGAAACACCACGCGAGAGCCAGCAGACAGTGGGAGAAGCAAGTGGTGCATGGCCCTGAGAAAAAGCCAAGGGACAGCTTCTTCTGGGCAAGCATCCTGGCTAGAGCTGCAAACTTGGACTGCCGCACAGCACTCCCTCCCATTTGCTTCCTCTGCGTGCAAGGAAATGGGACGTGGCTGTACATTCTTTGTAAATAAATAGAATTGTGCTAAGGAGATAACTGAATTCATCATCGATCCGCCCCCCCCACCCGTCCCCGTCCCCCCTGCAGGAAAATCTGGCAAAGTGCTGAATATTTAACTGTGTGGGTCAAAGTTCTGTATGTAAAACTACAGAGCTTTTCAGTACTGCTAAAGGAGTCATCGGAGACCCTGCAGATGTCAAGGCAGTCCCCGAATTTCAGGCCTCAAAGCAGCAGTTGATCACTTCAATCGCTGACGATCCTTCACGGATTTTTAATGCCTGGTATTTCTACAATGTGTATTAAAAGTAGCTTTTATGGAACAATAACAAGGAACTGCTTTCTCTGATCCCTCATTTGGAGTGTTTAATATAGTCCAGATGTATCTGTTGAAAAGAAATGTAGTCAGATACGGTATAGTTGTGAGACTTTTATGCATGAGGAAGGTGTTTGATACAGGGAGCTGTTGTGAATAGTTTCTTTAATTGTGTTATCTTACAGCATCTTCTTACCAAGCTGCTATTGGCATCAAAGCTTTTGCAGATTTATTTCCATATTTAGGTCCCCGCAGCAACTACATCTCAGATTGCCGCTTTCCATTTGAGGGTATGCTCACACCAGCACAGCTGAATAAAGCAGCGTACTTCAAGCAGTCAATGTCCTGATGCTGAAGTGTACTCTGTGTGTGCTCTGATGCCTCTGCAACGGAACGTGAAGCCTTGACCTCCTCCAGTGGGAAGTAAAAGGCAAGACTCGCAGCCAGGGATAAGACTGGAAAATGCCCTCAACTCACCTCTTTTCCTTGGTGTTTCACCCTAGGAGACAGTTAGAATTTAACAGGTCTTTGGTCAGTTGACTTCAAAGAAGCCTTACTGATGAGGAATACAAACCCGGGGGAGGAAAAAAAAAAACAAACCAACAAACAAAAAAAGCTGCTTTTAACTCCAGCTACATTTATCAATCAGTTTTGTGTTAGATGCCTTCTCCAGCACAGCACAGGGGGTGCCTGGGGCCTGGAATGAGCAACTGGTGTGGCCGAAGGGCAAGGCTGTGTTACTTTTGGCAGCAGCGCCGGCAATAGCTGGCTGGAAGCATTTGTGAAATTATGGTCTGTGGGGGCTCTTCTGGTTTATGCTGACGTGTGTGCAGGCTGCCACCAAAACAGGCCCTCTCGCTGGCTTATCCTGGCATTGGTGTTTGTTCGGCTGCGGGATCAGCTGGCTGCCAAAACTGATCCTGCTGAAAACTTTTTTCTTTTTTTTTTTTTTTTAAACTGGATTAGCTTTCAGCTCTGTTGGCAGGTGGAACTAGCCTAACATGTGGCCGCATGAATGTCGGAGCCAGTGAAGAAGAGGCATCAGGAAAGCATGACTAAGGGAAGGTAGAAGGATGGAATTATCTCTTTTGCCAGTAGCACCGTCTCGGTTTGGCTTAACCCTCCATGAATCTATCTTTCGGGGTAAAATTACCTGTTACAGCTTGAGTCACATTAATGGCTTGCTTCCACAGGAAGGGAAAAATCTTCTTCCTCTTTTCCTCACTCCTCTCATGTTAGACCTGGCGATTGTCTAATCTTGCACTGAACTGGTTTAACTTGTTGAATCAGCAGAAAACTCACCCTGGCAAAGAAAAGGGAATAGCGTTCTGCTGGCCGAGTGGGTTGGATCAGCTCGGTAAAGCATCTGCTGAGGCTGGCAGAGGTGGTCCAGGTGAGGAGGGCAGTAGCAGTCAGCTCTGAGGTCGCTGACGGAACCACAGCAAACAGCTTAGGTCTCCGAAATCTCCTGTCATAATGCTTAGTAGAAGACCCATGATCTGGGTTTCCTCTGTAAGGATGACAATAGGCACTATCCCTTATAACAAATGTGGTGTTTGTCTCCTCAAGCTGGAAGTCGCCACTATTCTATAATGCCTTCCAAACTCCTACCCCTGTAATTTCAACCCTCCCATGGGTATGTGACATTTATCCCAACGCTCCCCTTCAAGCTGGGCCTCTTCTTGAGCCTAGATTTCTCCTGGGTTTGTTTCCTTATCAGATGGGGAAGTACTGCCACAGATCTACTAAAGCTCTTCTCCATCAAGCAAAACTTTTCTCTGAAGCTTCAACAAATGGCCTCTGATGTTGCTTTGGGAAGACACTCTGTGCTCTCAGATGCAGGAATGCAAGCTCATAAGCAAACTGCTGTTGGAAAACCTCTATCAGCAGCAAAGAGAGTATGGAAAGATGGACTTACATGTGTGGAAAACAGTTGTGTGCAACTCAGTCAGGTAGAAGTAGTAAAATGCCCAAATTATATTTAATGACGCTCGGGACAGCCGTGGTACACTTAAGCATGGTGCTGGCTGGGCACTGTCTCTGTGCACCAAGCACAGAAATCCTGTGCTGTGTTTGCCCAGAAGTTTAAGCTTTAATCTTTGACAGAAGAAAGCCCAGGCAAGGAAGGACAAGAACATTTTCAGATCGTCTTAATGAAGAGGACGTACGTTGTGCAGGCAGGCATTCTTACGCCCATACAGCTCCTCCTCCATTTATAAGGAGACAGAGCAGGACCAGCCCAAAGAATTAATGGAGAATAAAATGTTCTCTAAAAATATATCAGGAAAAAAGTTACACGAGAAATATATGAACTTAATAATGACTGGGGAATCTAAAATGCTATGTTGTTGTTAATATCTTCAACCATAAAGTTATGGAGAGGATGAGTAAACTTGGGAAATTCCTGATATAAAAAGGGTTGTTGGGAAAGTGTAGACAGGTGGTACTTGGAAAACGTAAACGCGCGAGCAGTGGGATATCACTTGAATGCAATTTGGGTAGCTGAGGAATGGATTAAGCTATCACTTTTCAGAAACTACCTGGAATTACTTGTTTTTAATAAATGGCAAAGCAGATGCTGGACAATTGAGAAGAAACAAGCAGGACACCGAAGTGCACCTAAAAGACTTTGTTGCTTTGTTGCTTCTGCTCCACCTTCTGGGGCCATTCTCCAGTAGACGGTGGATGAAATGCCCAGATGTGTGAGCGCTCTGAAGGGGGTTTTCAGAAATACTTGTCCTTGGTCAAACTGTTCCTGTTGAGTCCAGCTGAGACAGCAGGCCGGCTTGGGTGGAGGCAGCAGGAGTGAAGGTGAGGAAGAGGAGAGCTCTTCCTCAGGCTGCAGTAAATTGGGGAACCGCAGCCTCGACGTGTCATTGAATGACTTTTAAAATTCAGATTCCTAAACAATTGGAAGAAAGATGTCAGGTGCGTGAGGGAGCTTCCTTTGATAGAAATATAGTCTAGCCTGTGACGTGACTTGTGTGGGTAGCCCTGAATGTGAACAGTCTCCCCTGTGCCGGTGAGCGACGTGACTGGAGTG